GCTACCAGAGGTACCCCCAGCACAGTTATACATTGTCAAGCATCACCGTGGGGCTCACATGCCAGATCTGTATGTGGGGGAAGGAAGAAGGGAGTCCAGGCAGCCTTTTAGCTTTTAACGTTAAGGATTTGGGCTGAAAGGCCATGGTGCCAGTTGCGCAATTTGGCAAAACGTGGGCTGTTACGTTCCGTTTCAAACCTTTCCCTGTGGCACACAGAAAGAAAGAGAGAGAGAGAGAGACAGAGACAGAAAGAGAGGGAGAAAAGAAGAAGAAAGAGAGGGGTTAGGGGACATGTCCACCATTCCCCTGTCTCAGGCTGGGTCAGAGGGCTGGGAGGGACAGTTGGCTTGGAGAAGTACTGCCTGGCTTGGGTCAAGCTGAGGTTGGATGGGGCAAGATCAGAGTCCTGGGAACAGAATGGAGGGACTGAAGTCCCTGCCTTGATGGGTGGGGGCCATGGACAAAGGACCTGGCTAGAGGGCCTTAGGGCAGACTGGGCAAAAAAGGGACTTCCTGGCCTGTCTGGTTAAGGCTGGGCAGGGCTGCTTTGGCCTCGGCTCTTGGGACTGAACCAAACAGGCAGGTGGGCCTAACATTGTTTCTGTCCCCTAGCTGGGCACCAAGAAGGAGGGGCACCTATCCCCTGCAATGAAGCCTAACAAGCAGACCCGTCACCTCCCTGTGCTGCCTGGCCTCACCTCACTTTTATGATTCTCAGAAAGAAGGCTCACATACCATACAGTGCCCCGCCCAGCCGAGGCACTGGAACGCATACGAACACACATACTCACAAGATCGCTGTCACAGATATAGAAGGTGGGGACTTCCCACCACTTCCTGCTAGTGAGACCACAGGGGGCTCAACCCACAGAATGGGGTTCTGCTGTATTCAGCAGAGAACACAGTACAGAGCAGTCAAGCAGCAGCCAGAAATGTAGAAAGGGAGGAAAGAGGGAGACAGGGAAAAGCCAATGCCAGAATCCTAGGCCCTCCTGGCTGGAGGGGCCACTAACACTCTCCAGACCAGAGGTGCAAACTGGTGACCAAGGCTTGGCCACATCTAACCATAAACACTGTGTGCTCAACCTGTATAGAAATTTGATTTAAAACAAAGACTGGGGATATAGCTCAGCAGCACCCTCTTAAGGTTCATAAGGCCCTGGGTTTGACTCCTAGCACCATGAAAATAAATTAATTAAAATTAAAATTAAAAATTAATTGCTATATCCATGCTATGGCATGGTACTCAGGAACAACTGAACTGCAGGTCGAGTATCCCTTATTAGAAATTCCTGGAACCTGAATTCTTTCAGATTTCAGATTTTTTCAGACTTTGGAATATTTGCACATACATAATGAGAAATATTGGGAATCCGAATCTAAATGCAAAATTCATTTAGGATTCACATAATCAATACTTCTAGTACACCTGTCTTTGACTGTGACCCATTACATGAGGTTAGGTACGGAATTTTCCACTTGTTGGTACTCAAAAAGTTTTGGGGAACATGTCAGATTTTGTATTTTTGGATTAGAGATGCTCGACCTGTGATTGGTACCCTGGACAACTTGGATAAATCCCTAGGGAATTAGGCTGGCTAAAAAAAGCCAATCTTAAAACGGTCACAATGATGTATGAGTTCACCTATAAGACATTCTTGAAAGATGACAGACTGATAGGAATGGAGAACAGATAGCAGATCGGTGGTTAGCAAGGTTAGGAGGAGACAGGCATAGAGAGAGGTGTGGCTATACTGCATATGAGCACCAGAAGCAGCTTTGTGGGGAGGTAAGTGTTTTGTGTCTTCACTATAGCAATAGCACCATTGTCACTGAGACGTTGTGCCTTAGTTGTGCAAGATGCTGCCACTGGAGGAAACAGAGTAAAGGGTCCATAGATCTCTCTGTGTTATTTCTTACAACTGCAAGTGAATTGGCAATTATCTCAAAATAAAAAAGTTTAATTTAAAAGATGAATTGCCAGCACAGAAGAATCCGGAAGGTACTTAAAGATCAGAAGATGCGGCAGTGCTGGTCTTACAATTCTGCATAGTAACAGTCATCAGGTACTAGTCCGTTTTCCCAAATCCTCACATTTACAGAGGTCTACTTTCCCATCCGCATGCCTGGGAGACACTTGCTCTGCCCCTCAAGTCCAGCATATTGAATCTGTAGGTAGGACTATTTGACAAAAGGGGCTCACTGCTAGCTTAGTTGAAAACCAGTGGTCTAGTCTAACCTTTCCTTATGCCAAGAAGAAACCAAGGCCCAGAGATGCCCACACAAATGGTATAAGGCCTCACAGAAACCCAGCAGCAGAACCATGATGTAAGTGTTAGGCAGTCTTCTTCCCTTGCTACACACCTTCCTTTCTGAGATCAGGGTGAAAGGGTGAAGACAGCATGAGCAAAGTCCCCGTGGCAGGACCACACAGTCCTGCAAACAGTCATAACATCTCAAGAGACCACTCAGAATGCAGTTGCAAAATGAGATGCAGCAAGTTTTAGTAAGGCCTATGGAGGTTGGGTGGCACTTTGTAATTATTGTTCAGTGACTGGGTGAGGGACAGTCCTGGAGTCTCTGTGAGTCTAATGAGCCTGCTCTGCTAGGCACTGTTTAGAGATTCCCAACTAATCAAAAGAAAGAAGCAAGAAGAGGAAGGAAGGAGAGAGGAAAGAGAAAGGAAGAGAGAGTCTACCAGGGCTGTTCAGACTGTGGCACTCGGGGTGTCTTGGTGTCTCCAGTTGTGGCTTTCAGACAGGCTAGGGTGGCGGAATACTAGAAGACCTGGGTCAGCTCCTGGGTCAGGGGCTGCTTGGATTCAGTGACATGACAGTCTCTGCCCATGAGGATGACTCTCAAGAAATTAAAGTCAGAGCTGGAAACAGTGGCTCACTCCTGTAATCCCAGCCACCCAGGAAACAGAGATCAGGAGGATTGCAGTTCAAGGCCAACCTTGGCAAAAAGTTAGCGAGATTTCCTCTCAACAAGGAAGCCAGATGTGGTGGTATGTGCCTGTGGTCCCAGCTACACAGGCGGTGTAAGTAGGAGGATTGTAGTCCAGACTGGTGGGGACAAAAAGATGAGACACTATCTGAAAAAAAAAAAAGAAAAAGAAAAAGAAAAAAGGCTGTGGGCATGGCTCAAGTGGTAGAGCCCCTGCTTAGCAATTCAGAGGCCCTGAGTTCAAACGCCATTACTGCCACAAAGAAAAAAGAAAAAGGGGGAAAAAGGGAATTAAAATCAGGAAGGGAGGGATTTGCACGCCTCAGTCCTGGGCAGAGGCTTGCTGGTGCCACAGAACCTCTACTGCGGGGTCTGCAGAGCCTGAGATGGGGGCCGGGGTGAACGGTAAGGGGTGAAAACAGCCTGGGACTGAGATAGGAAGCAGTCTGGAGTCTCTTCTTGGACACTCTTTCCAGATCTCTCTCCGATAAAACCCTATGGTAGCACCTGCAGATGTTCCAGGGAAACCAGGAAATACAAAAGTTGCCTGAAATCTCCCTTCCCTCTTCTGGCTAACGAGGCACAAGGTTAGCAGACTGCCATGCATACTGGATGGAAGAGAAACAGAGAGTCACCAGGAGGAGATGGCAGGGGTCACGAAGGCGGGCCTCTGTGACTTATGGAGGGAGGAAAACGGTCCCTGCTGGCTTCCTGAGGGAAGGAACCTAGGGATGATTAAGCTGTTTGCTGCAGGGGTTGGTGACATAAGACCTCTCTGCTGAGTCTCTGGAAAAGTCCACATTGCTCCCTGAATCACCTATGCTGTCAGCTTCAAGAAGGAGGTAGGACAAACACAATAGAGCACGGGAGGAGAGAGCTGAGAGCTGTCCCCACTTAAGACAACTTGCTCTCAACTTTTGAGCTAAATCCAACATCATCTCTTGGCATTCTGTTTAGCTGCATTGCAGGCACTGAAGAGTTAAGAACTGTTTCTCAAATCACATGCCATTCTTGGGTCTGGGAGAACCACACTTTGGCTTGAATATTCAGCCAAAATGTGAAGATCACTTGAGTTGGCAAAAATACAGGTTCCACAATAAAATGTACATCAAGTTCCAGCTGGCTCCACAGTCCTACTCTACAAGAGTCCTGTGGCCACCGTGCACTGGTTAGGAATTACGGAAAGTTGGTTCAGGGTGGGAGCATGCCTCTGAGCCCCAGCCCCTCACAGAAAGGCAGCCGCAGGATGCACTGGCCCCAGGCAGACTGTCCCAGGAAGAGCATGCAGACACATACTTGCTACCAGGAGTTGACATATAATCACACTGGGCCCCATGCCTCACCATGGAAAGCCCTTGTGGGTTCCAATGGATTTTGGGACAGCATGCCTCCCTCATCCCAGGGCTACAGCACCTGACAGGCTGTGGATGGTAGGCAAGTAGCTGTGGTCTCAGACCTGCTACTGATGGGGAGACTGTGACCTGAGACCTACTAGCCCTGTGCAAGCCCCTCCTTGTGTTGGGGGCTGTCCCTCCTTGCAGCAGCTGTTACGCTTAAAGCAATTTACAGAACTTGTGCCTTAATGTAGGTGTGGACAGCTGAGTCCACAGGTCAGGTGTTTGTGCCCAGCACGGTCCTCCACATGCCTTCTCCCAGTGCCCAGCCTTCGACACACGGGGGCCAAGCCCTGAGATGAGTGGGCAGGCGAGGCACTGGCCCACTGCCCTTCCAGGGAGAGATGCCCTCACTCTCAACAGCCCAGCAAAGGCCAAAGCAGCCCTGCCCCTGCCCCAGGACAGAACCAAATGAGCCCAAAGTCCTCAACTGCTGTAGCCTGTTCCAGGGAGGGTGAGGGGAAAGACTCAGCTCCAGGTACCCACCTTACTAACACAGGACAGCCACCTAAGCCAGCATCTGCTGGAGCCCTTTGCAGGCCAGGCTTCCCAAATACTTGAATTTGATAGGTTCCTTCCATGAGTCATGTGGCCTGGGGGCTGCCTGGGGAGGGATGGGGTTAGAAGACGAGGCCATCAGCCTGAGTGCAGGCACCTACCTTGACCTTCGCAGAGCTTCTTCATCAGGGTCTTGCACTGTGGGCAGAAAGGAGCTATTTAGGGGGACTCACAGAGAACATAAAGAAGAAACACCACTGAGACTCTGTGCACAGTGAGTCCCTAGGATTCAGCCAGGTCCTGAGCACATCCTACCCCCTAGGCCTGTCAACTGTGGAAAGGAGAGTCTGCAAGCCAGGCAGAGGCCAGGGGGAGGAGAGAGACCATGGTGTAGTTGGGAGGGAGTGGTCAGAGTGCGGCCTGCAATGTCCTGTCATGCCAGCCCTGCCAGTTATGTCTTCTGGAAGCTGCATGACAAGCCTGTTGCCATGGATGGAGTTAGGGGTTGGAGCAGAAAACTGCCATGGTTGGTCATCCCACCAGAGGGGTGCAAAGGCGCTCTGCCAGCTGCTAACGGTCCATCAGTGTCAGCTCATCTTCAAGGGTGGTGGCTTGCCTCCTTGGTTTCTTTGAGCCGTAAGACTGTGCAGCAGGACCCAGGACCCCGGACCCTCCTCTGGCTCCACCCAACAGCCCTCACTCACTGTATTCTGTCCCTGTCATCTGGGCCAGGATGCGGAAGGAGCGAGACTGCAGGTTGGAGGACCGTCGGGCCCATTCATCAGCCTCGTCTTCTGGCTTGTTCTGGTTCTTGATCACAGCCTGGTACACTGGAGAGGCACTGTCCACTGCTAAATCCTTCACAGGAAGACTCCTGCAGTACAGAAAGAGTCATGGGCTGGTGCCAGGCTGGAACTTGGGCTTCTGCCACTGTGTCCTCCCACCATGCTCCCCCCCCACCTCCCTGGTGCCAGGTTGGTGGTGCCTACTGCTTTGTACCCACCAGGCCTTCACCCACTGCTACTAGGTAACTGAGACATTGGCATGGCCTGGGTCCTCGGTGCTCAAGGTGTTCTGATTGAGGCAAAGACTCCTCTTACTCAGGAGGGGTCCAGAGGCTCAGATCCTTTCTCCCCAGTGCTAACACCCCACCCTCCGGGGCTGGATCCCCTTTGAGGAAGGAGGAGGCAGGTCTCCTTGAAGTAATTTTGACCTCCCTGAGTAGGCCCGGAGTTTGGGGCAGAGTGAGGACAGGATTTTGGGACACCCAGAGGCTTCCTGGGGGTCCCCTGCTGCTCTCCTCACACCTTTGGATCCAAATAGGAAGCTGGCAATGCTGTGCTCCCTGGAAGAGAGCTGTGGGCCCCAGCAAAGCCCATAGCAATGGTTGCCAGTACACCAGTTCTCTCAAAGATGCTGAAACTGAAATCCAGAGAGGTCAACTGACTAACTGCAGGTTATGACAGGTAGGAGCCCTACTCAATCAGAACTTTGGCTTCCTGGCTCCCTGCTAGAGTCTTTTCTATTAGGGTCTCCATAGTCACAGCAGCTCAGGAAGGCCACTTCTGTCCACCAGGGCCTACAGACTAGACATTTTGACCAGATGAAGACATACCCCAGTCCAGACATGCCCTACCCAGCACCCTCCTGCCTGCTTCCACCTGCCCTGCAAGGGACTAGCTGGTTAGGAGAGGATCTCCCTAGTGCTTCTGTCTTCTACCCTCTCTGCAAGGAGCTGGATAGAAAACCAGCCTAGTCTCCCAGGATTGGTGCTCTGGGCTGGCTCAGGATGGACTATGAGAACAGAGGAGGAAAAGGGCACCAAGGGTGGGTAGAGTTTCCCTACTTTCCTAAAGGCCCTGATCTGGCTGCAGAGCCCTGGGGACTGTTGACCTATGGTTGAGATCAAAATGGGAGGCCAGCAGTTCCTTCTGGGATCTAGCCAGAGAGGATCCTGTAGCTGCTGCAGAAGCTCCTGCTAGGTAGGTCATTTACGGCACAGGAAGGATCCCAAGGGTTCCTAAGGGCTTTAGGTGAAATGCATAATAGGCAGGGCAACCAGGTGTCCCAGGTCCTGGCTCTTGGCCTCCTAGGAGGAGAGGGAAGGGAGGTGTGTGGATTGTGCTGTATGAGAGGGAAGGTGTAGGCGCAAATCTGGGCTCTGCCTTCAAGCCTGTCTACATGGAACTTTGCAATCCTAAAAGCAGATGGAAGCGTTTACTGTCATTTCCCTGGATCATGTCCATGACAAGCTCCCCCATGCCTTCCCCAACTCCAAAGCCTCCAGAAAAGCAAAAGTGAGTCCCTTGGAACTCAGCAGTGCTGAGCCGAGATTAGTGTTGCTGCTGGAACGCAGACTGGGAGTCAGATGAGGAAATTGCCGTGCCTTTCCTATGCAGAGAGCTGTTGGAACAGGTCTTGAAGTCCTATGCTTCTTGCTACAGAGAAGACTTCACGGTTATACAACACCAAGGTCACCTCTGGCATTTACTCCACTGTGCACTGCTCCCAATTCTGACTCATCTTTCACTTCCCTGTGGCAGTCCTGGCAGGCGCTGTCTCCTACAGATCTATCTCTCATGAGGGTTCTGGGGACAGGCCTCCAAAAATCTTCTTGCCACCCTCGGGCCCTGAATACTGACCCAGTGTGGACTCTGACTTCTAGGTCTACACTTTACAGAAGCATCCCCAAAGCACAGCAAAGCATCCCCAAAACACAGGGACGCAGCCCCAGGCTGGGGGTGGGCGTGGTGTGAGTGTTATTACTGTGGATTTCTAAAGCCACACTGACGTTATTGATAGCAAACGCCAAAAGACAAATATGTGCCTGGGTAGGCTGCAGGGGATGTTGTTTGGCTGCGAGGTGGGTGTGAGGAAAAATGTGGACAGAGCACATGGACTGACCACTGGTCCTCAGACAAATCCCATCAAACCCACACACCATCCTGCAACCAGACAGACAAATGACGCGACAGACACTGCAGGGTCTACTTACGCCAGCGGCGACGCCCTGCCAAGCAGAGGGAAACCCAGCCGTGAGTGCGCGTCCATCATGGGATGGCAGGGGGCAGCGCACACAAGAGAGCAGGGTTAGGATCAGAAATGAGTTAGGGGAATGGGATGGGTGAAGGAGGAAGAGAGAGAGAAAAAGAGAATGGTCAGTGAGGAAGGAAGCATGAAAATGACAGCAGAAATGGGAGCACTTTATGGCCAGGAGGTTTCCCCACTGGCACCACAGCAGCGTCAGCCCAGCGCGCCTAAGTCAAAAGGAAGGGGAAAGGATGGGCCTTTCCAGGCGCTAGGGAGAGGGGAGGGAGTGGAGGGAAGGTGACAGGAGGGAGATGGGAAAAATCTAGATTAATCAATAGTGCACCATATTCCAAAAAATCATGGGCACCCTGGGTGATAAAGCCAAATAACAGCGGTCTCACCAAAGAGCAGAAAATGTAAAGTGAGGAGAGTAGTTCTTCCATTATCGTCCATCAAACTTCTCTTTCGCAACTGTTACCATTTTTAAGGACACACCAAGGACCACATGGCAAACAAATGCTATCAGGAAATCCCTGGTAGCTCTTGGGCTTAGTCAGGATGCCTTGTTTTTCTGGGTATGCATGAGCTAATGATTGTTTTAAATTTGCATGGTCATATTTTCTGCTTTGAACGATGGGTTTAAAAGAAATCAGCAGAGCCCTGTAGTGTGCACAGAACTACAGCCCTGAGCGCCTAAATGGTTTGAGACTTGTGGTTCCAAAGCAGGTGACCTCCACCCCCTAGTGGTGGAGGCGGAGTACTACATTACAAAGAGGGCAACAGGCTTCCCAAGGAAGTCCACAACCCAAGTTCCATCTCCTGAGCTCTGCAGCGTACCCCTTACAAACTTCATACATATCGTGGCCAAAAGGGCTGAGTTCTGGGAAGGCCGAGTCCTATAGGAGCTGTGTAGGACTTTTTAACCCTGTGTCCCTATTACAATATCTGTTCTCCTAGCTTTGGAAAAAAACTATCGTCTCAAGACTTTCCACCCTGAGTTGCTAAGGATCCCCAACCCAGGGATAAGATGTTGCCTAAAGAGATAATCAGTCAGTTGTGTAAGTCAGCACTATGGCATTCCCAAGCAGAAAGCAATGGGAACTCTGTGTATATGTGTTTGTGTAAGAAAAGACAGAGAGGAAGTTAGGGAGAGACAAAGAGATAGACAAAAATTTAAAAATACAGAAATAGGACAGAAAGGGAGATACACAGAAAGAGACAAAGAGAGAGAGAGAGAGAGAGAGAAAGAGGAAGGCAGGGAGAGACAAAGAGATAGAGAGATGCAGAATAAAGAGAACAGAGATGTGAGAGAGAGAGAGAGAGAGAGAGAGAGAGAGACAGGAGAGTTTCCATTGTTTGCACTATTAGCAGTTTCATCCACAAGTTTTGGCCAGCTCTCTCCCTAGTCTACTATAGCTAAGAGGCAAATTGCAGGAAACAAGAATATCTTAAATTCCACTGCCCTGAGGTCAGGCTTCCAGGAGGAGGAGGGAGATGGCCATCAGTGGGGTTGACTCCTGACAGCACCTTGATGGTCAGTGCGAGGCCCTGACCAACAAGAAACCTATCATGCATTTGGATGGATGCTGATTGCTGGAAGAGTGAAGTGACCCGCCACCCCCCCCACCCCAAAATGGCTTAGTTGCAAAAGGCCTATGGGTCTCCAGTGCTCTGTTAAAAGGCTTGCAGAAGTCTTTTTCTTAACGAGCCTCCTTATGATACCAGGGAAAATGCAGAAGCTGTGAAAAGTTCTTTGAGAAACACCACACTGCATTTTTCCACCTTTTTGCTAAAGCTGGGCATGGGGTAGGTTCTGAAGAGAGAGGACAACCATGTACTGAAAGACCCTGGTGAAGGCTGATCTCCCTCCCAGGGCCTCTGCCTGGGAGGCCCAAGGTGAGGGAAGAAAGTTGGTCCTGATGGCACCTGGTGGCCTCCGTAGGTGTGTGGAGTTAGGGAGGCGCTTACCCACTGAAGTCACTGCCCTGGGCTTGGGCCTGCCCAGCGATGGCGTCCATGATGGCATCCTGGGAGTACATGCTGATGGGTGTGTTGTACTGGGCATGGATGATGGTGGCCTTGCCGCCCAGCCCCTTCACCTCAATGGGCTTGTGGGTGGACAGGGCTGAGTCCTTCAGAGCACTGGGATTGAAGCGTTCCTGGTAGTCGGCGCTGGGGACAGCACACAAGGGGGCAGGGTGAGGTAGAAGAGGGAAGGAGAGGGGAGGAGAGAAGCCCAACAGGTGATGGTTATATGAGAGGAAAAGGAAGGCCTGGGCTGTTGGTGGTGTGTGTGGAGAGAGACCTCCCAGGCCCCAAGTAGGCTTCCCAGGTTCCCTCCACTGGGGGCTGATGGGGTCTGGTCAGGAAAATCCTCAGCACCTCCAGAAAGCCCTGTGCAAGTTTCCTGGTCCCAGATGACGTGCAGGCCCTGGTTCCGCCTGAGCTACCTCCCCAGGTCAGCAGGGGATGCCAGGCACAGCAAGCTTTCCCACACACACAGTCCATGGAGAAGCAGAGACAAAAGGGGTTCAGGGAACCAGGGTTAGGAAGAGGACAAGAGCTGGGCCCTGTGAGAGAGGCAGCAGCAGCACAAGCTGAGTCCAGAATGTTCCAAAGGCAAAGAGCAGCTGCACTGGGCATCTGAGGAATTCTGAGTGAGGTTCCTCCGTGAAGAGGCTCATCCTGCTGGCCACCCCTCTGTGGCCTGCAGTTCTGTTCTTCTAGATGCTTCCATACATGTGCTTCTTCTTGGGAGCAGGGCTCAGGCTGCCCACACCCCTCCAGTCCCGCTTGCTGTGGCCTGCCAACCTCCGCCCATCTGGAATTCTTCTGTCCAACAGATAGGTGTGGTCCCCAGGCAGAGACAAAATCAGGTGCAGTCCCTCCTCTGGAGTCCCATCAGGACAAAGTGATCTTCAGGCTCACACAGGCCCCAGCGGCAAAAGCACAGTGCTCCACCCCCAACCCCACCAGAGCCAGCTTGCGGAGCTTAAGCAGCTAGAGCAGGAAATTGGGACTGAAATTGAGGTCATCAAATGGACACCTGCCTTGCAACACCTTCACTCCATTCTCCAGCGTCACACCCGTGCAGGCTCAACCAGGGCACAAAGGCACCCCCACTCACACATGCACACAGTACACATGCTGGAAGGGGCGTGCTATCCACGCCCCACAGACCACAGACGCATGCTGGGCTGGCACACAGGTGCACACACATGCTGTCCTTGGATACTAACTTGGCTGGAGAGTTGACTACCACCTGGTGGGGGGGGGGGAAGAGAAAGGGCAAAGAAGACAGGGCAGTCAGAGTGAGGTTTGAGCTGGGGATGGGGGTGGGGAATGAACACTGGGACCATCTTTAGACTGTTGATGATGGAGCCAGAACCAGTTGAATTGCACTAGGTTAGAGAATAAGGAGTGAGAAGGGAAGAGAACCCCAAGTTGGGAATCACAGCCTCCAGGGCCCTTGATTTGATCTGGAGATGCTAACACAGCAATGTTCCCTCCATGGTAGGCCCCAGTACCCTCAGTTTTGTCAGGGAGAAGGGTTTTCTTGTCCATCTTGTGTGAGCACCTGTACCATGTATATGTACTTCCACCTGAATGCCACAGAGGGACCCTGCCCTTCCCTCTGATCTGAGAGTCAGCATCCTGGAACTCAGTGCCTTTGGGCCTTTGGGTTCTTTAAATGCAAGTTCCCTGTAGTAGCAGACCCTGTGGCTTAGTGGCCCTGTCTGAAACTTGAGACAGAGAGCCTGGAGGGCAGTGAGCTCTACCCCCCAAATTCTGCTGCCTTCCTGGATCTGCCCACTGTGAGCGTCAACTGGGGGAGCCTGGGCCCCAGCTGGCTTGGCCCTGGTCATCCTGCAGCCAGGACCCAGGGAAGACATAGACTTGCCCACCTCAGGGAGCCTTGTAGTGGTTCTACCCAACCCTGCCCCCCACCCCACTGTCTCAGAGCTGATAAAATTCTCTCTGTCCTCCCAGCTCAAAATAGCCACAAGTGGAGCTAAATTAGGAAAGAGCCAGCTCAGAGCTTCCATTCTTTCTCCATGTTTGGCCAGTGCTGACAGCTTTAAGGGCAGCTCTTACTCTGACCAACCCAGTGTCCCCTGCAGAGGGCAGTGTTGGCCTGGTGGGGTGAGGGCTGCTTCTGCCCTGCCTGGCAACCAGCTTCTTCTTTGGCATTGATTCTTGCTCCCTGCGGAGGACTCCAGGCCAGGATAACTTGCCACGGACACAGATCAGAGAGGAGCTAGTGCCCAGGTCTCAGGAAGGAGGGGTCAAAGATGAGACCCTCTACCCAGGGGTCTTCACACCAGAAACACTGCCCTTCAGTGCTGCCCCAGATAGGATGAAGAGAAGGGCCTGAAAGATGCTCAATCCTGCCTGCCCTTCCAGCCCATTGGTCTCTCTCCACTCCTCCCAAGATGCAAGGTGCCCCCCTGGGCAGAGAGTTGGGGAAGGGGAAGGGGCTTCCTTTTGGAGCCAGATGGGACAGAGGTCAATTCCTGACTCAGCCTTTTCCTAGCACTGTGACTCTTGGCAAGTTATCCACCTGTCTCAGACTCACATTCCTCAATTATAAGATTGTAATTGTAAGACGGAGATGATGGTCCCCACTCCACAGATGGGTTAAGCAGAGTATCCAGGATCTGAGTCTAGAGCCCTCAGCATAGGATAAGTATGCAACGGATGGCTGTGAAGGTTAGCATTTGCCGCTCCTGTTCCCTGCGGCAGTTAGGCAGTTAGCCAAGGTGGGCTAACTCAGCTGGGCAGAGGCCTCATCTCTTCCTACCTGCACTGCCCCAGGACGGCGGCAGCAGCTTTTACTTTGGATGAAGCATCAACCTCACTCCCACCCTGGCCCATCATTTTGTGAAAGAAACTATTGGATCCTGCCTCACTGATTATCAAGAATAATTTAAACATTTGCCAGGGTCTGAGCAGCCCCTGTGCCAATGGGATGGCACCTGGGAGCCAAGGGAAATAGAAGTGAGGCTAATCCTTCACTTCCTGGGGCAGGTAGCCAGCTCCCCTCTCAAAGCAAGATGGAGTCAGGTAGGCCCAAGCACCAGTCCTGTCTGCCACTTACTAGCTGTGTGACTTTAGGCAAATTACTCATCCTCTCTGAGCTTCCATTTCCCAGCTGTAAGGTGGAGGAAACAATATCCACCTCTGAAGTTACTGAAAGAAGTCCCCATCCCCACTTCCTCAGGGACAAGTCATAGCTCAGTCTGTGGAGACGTTGTCATCACTGCAGGTGGGCCTCCCAGGGGTCCCAGTCCACCAGAGCCCAACCTTTCTGCCTGGCATCAGTCCCAGGATGGATCAAGAAGGCTTACCAGCCCATCAAAGGCAGAGCAAGGAGGCCATTTTGTTCTGCTATTCCTGGAGTTTTCTGGCAAAATATCCTTATTGGGAAAGCTGTGTGGGACGGGGTTTGGGGGTTGGGAAAGCTCAGTGAAACCATGGCTGCCACAACCAGCTTTGCTCAGATTCCAGGAAGAGCTGGGGAAAATGGGAGGCCCAGGAGGTGCTAAGCTAGTGTGGCACAGCAAGGGTAAAGGGAAGGGTGTGGCTGGGGTCAGCCCTCTTCTGCCAGCCAGTTGCAGAACTCCATTCCAGTGAGTATGTGACAGAACAGAACTCAGTGCTACACACAGTTGTCCCCTTTATCCTCCCTGAGATGTAGACAGTGGGATTCTTCCCATAAGCCACTAGGCTACCCTGCATGAACAGCCTGCTCTGCCTTTAGCACCCAAAGATAAGCACACCCATCCTACACGGTGGTAGTAAAGGTTACAGTAAGACAGATGGCAGGTGTGAAGGGTCTGGAGGCTAATGTGTGCTCAGCACAGGGGCTCCCTTCCCTCAGCTCCCTCACAAAATCCCAGCTCCAAGTGCCAACTTCTATGCCCATAAAGTCCCACCAAGGAGACTCGGGGGGAGGGCAGCTGCTGTTCTCCACAACCCCTTTCTCCGGGCCAGGGTCAGTCCTGTGAGCCCCCTCCCTCTCACATCATTGCTCAGGCTCTCCATGGATAGATCCTGTGCTTTCTTCTCCAGGAAGCCTTTCCAGACTGATCCCAGCCCTGGAGAACTCACCCTTCCAACCTCTAATTTTTCCCTATTTCTGCCTCAGGGTTCTGGGAGGGACAGAGAGCACCTGTCTCCTTGAACCATGTTCTGAAGACAGCACGCCGTGGGTCCCATGGAGAAGTGGTATGGCCTGGTGGGAAAATTTGGGAAGTCAGTCTTCTGCATGCAAGCCTGACTTAGCCACTTAGTAGCTGGAAAACTGGACTTTGGTCTAACCTCCTCTGAGCCTGTTTTCTCTTCTGCTAAATCCCAGGGTGGTCACAGAAAGCAATGATGTACCTGGCTTGCAGCAAACGTTAATGGGATCCCATTTGCATTGCTCTCAACCTGGGCTGCCTTATAGGTATGAAGCTGACTGGGATGAGGCCAGTAGCCCCTCTGACTATCTGATCAGGCCTCTACCATGAGCACCGAAAGACCCAGGTGGCCCCAGACCGCCAGTGGACAGCAGCACACCTGTTACCTACCCTCCTAGGAGTCCAGCACCTGAGGCCTTCCCTCGGAGGCTCATCTGATACATCTGAGCCATCTCCCTCAGGGTCTCTGCCGAGTACAGGCCAATGGGGTTGTTATATTGCCTTGGCTGGCTCGGGCCTGCCAGGACTTTGGGGCTGAGCAAGCCCTGGGCCCCTTCTGGGCTGGCCTTGGCCCTGGGGCTGCCCTGTGGAGGGCTGGGGTCCGAGGCCTCCATGTGTGAGGAGCAGACAGAGGTCTGGGAGAAGGAGGAGCTAAAGGTGTCCCTGAGTTCCAGGGTGCCCAGGCTGGCCCTTGCCTCGGGGTTGGGGCTGGGTGCCGCCAGGCTGCCGTTCATGTCCAGAGCAGGGTCCTGGCACAGGGCAGCACCATGCAGGGGAGAGAGAAGAGAGTGGTTAGAGGCTACATGTGTCCAGTCCTTCCGCATGGACTTGAAACAGATGTGTTAGTGTAAGCACCCGCAGCCTGCCCTCCTCCCTATTCTGCCTGCACTGCCTGGGGTGCCTGGATGGGGCACTGGAAAGGAAGGATTCTGTCGAGGGGAGGGAGGAGATGTGGAGACTACAGTTTCTGACCTGGAGGCTCGCATCCATTGGTACAGAAGGCAAAGTGCTGCCCCAAAAGCCAAGCTAAGCCTGCCTGCACCTGGGGCTCAAGGAAGGGGATATGGGCTGGGGGACAGTAAGAAGCCCCTCCATCCTGTGTCTGTCTCTCCTTCCCCTAGAGTGAATACCCCCTGGGTGCAGCCCAATCTCTAGTCTACTGGGAAGACCCTGCATTCTGAGAAGACCATGTGTAGCCATGGAGATGGGGCCCCCCAAGCTGGCTGGGCATTGGGGTGGAATGGGGAGAAGCTGAGGAAGCAGGTGGGCTATTTGATCTTCTCTGTCCACCTCTGTGACTTTTCCTCACATCCCCTACCCAGTTTCCCAGTCTGTGATCCACCCTAGCCTCTTCTCCCCATTTCCCCAATCTGCCCTGCTGGACAGACAGGAGCCAGAGAAGGAGGAGAGTGGGGTGGACCTCCCAAGCTTTGGATCAGGGTCCTTGGACCCATAGGATTGAACTTCTTTAAGGGAGTTTGGGAAGGGCCCTGGGCAGTGATGAGGTCTAGGGTCAGGGTTCTGCTGTTCCCACCTTGACTGCTTCTCAGGCCACAACCCGCACTTCTGATGGGCAGTAGGGTCATGCAGTTGGGAGGTGCAGGTGGCAAGTGGAAATTGGAAGAGCCTGTGTGGAGGAGAACCTCTGAGGGCCAGCAGACTCCTTCCTGCCTAGGAGTACCTCCTGGGTGGCTGGCTGAAGCTGGGGCCTCTGACACACTCACCCCAGCCTCAGTGACTCTGGTAGACTAGGATCAGAGCTTTCTGGATGCCTGTCCCCTGCCTGACCAGAAGGATGCCCCCTCTTCTGAGAACACAGCTGCCCAAGCTGGTTTCCTTTCAGCTCAGCTGCTACGGTTTGGAGGGTGGCTGGCATCCAGGCAGCACTCCTAAAACTTGGTGTTTCATGGGGGCCTCAACTGCCTCTCCAGAGAGTCAGCAATGGTAGGGCAGAGGCAGGGAGGCTAGGCTGTACTTTAGGAGCTGCAGTTGAGTGGACTTCACTGCCAGCAGTTGGCACCTACCTTCTGGTGGGAGATTACTGGCAGAGGAGACTGGATTGGGGGTGCTGCTGTGGAAATGGCAACAGGACGCTTCGACCTGAAGAAATGAGAAGTGGGACAAAGTAAGCAATCATACCAGGACCCAGGAGTTTGTGCCTGGTCAGGGCTATTGAGGGGAGCATAAGAATGCTGGGTATCCAGGCCAGAGGTCCCATCGTTCACAGTCTACCATATGGGCTGGGTCTCTCCAGGAAAGCACTGGCCTGACCAGGATGGAGGAGTCACAGCTCTTGGGCATTTTGGTCAGCACCCAAGGACCTCTCCTTGGAGGACTGTCTCAGAAAAGAGGAAGCAGGAAAGACCCTGGCTTCCAGACCCAACTGCTTCATGCTGGAGGCACCATGGCCACCTTCTCTGGGCCTAATCTGTAAGGTGTGGCAGTAATGTCTTGGGCCTCCTCCTTCCTGCACAGTTCTGTAGCACAAGACTGGGCCCATGCTATTGCTGGAGACAACTCCTCCTTTTCCCCAACTCCATGCCTACACCCAAACCTCTGCCCTCTATTCCAGAGAGCTTCAACCTACTTCTGCAGAGTGAGACTCAGGTTGTAGCTGGCAGACTTGATCTTGTTCTGGGCTTCCAGGTGGGTCATGGTGTCTGTGTTGACGCCGTCGATGGCCACCACGAGGTCTCCCTGGCTGAGCTGGGACTGGGCCGCCTTGCTGCCTGGTGTGATCTGATTAGATGGCAGAAGTGGGGTAAGTATAAGAAGCTGGTCCTGAGGGTGGGCCAGTCCTCAGGGGACAGTCACCCAGAGTGTCCAAGATCCATCCTGTAATATTTCATTTGCTATGAGCTGCACTAGCTGCTTACCAAGCCTTGTCCCTCTTTCTGGCACATGGCTACCACATTTCCTAGCGTTTAGTTCTGACCATGGTCATGGAACTAGCTCTAAGCAGCAAAATGAGGGAGGAAGTAATGCACACTACTTACAGGTCTGCCCCTGGCAATCATCCCTAGGATCCTACCCATTGTTTGTTGGCTGATGAAATGTAGAAGATGGAGAGGAGGACAGCCAGACTGCTAACCAAAAAAGGACTAGATGCCCAGTGGAGAGATGATTAAGGAACACCATCCTGCAAGCTGCACGAGTGAGAAGTAAACTTTCACTGGGCTAAGCCATCAAAATTTGGGGCCTGTTTATTATACTGGTTAGCCTACTATTACTCCTGCACCCTGAAAACCCAGCCTCAGGAGGAAAGGGAAATTCAGGAGTTACACCTCAGTACTACCCACCCCAGAGACACTGCCAGGCCAGAGGACAGGGTAAATACACCCACGAAAAAGCACCCTAGAGTGGAAGTCTTGTGCTAACATGGCAGGCATGCAGAGGACTGAGGGAAACATCAACACTGCCAGGTTGAGCAAGGCTGGCTGGGAAATGGAGCAGGGCTTAGGACTCTCTGGTAAGCTTCATACTTCCAGAAGGGGAAATGCAGGTATGGGGGGTTAGTTCCCAAGTCTTGTACCCCAATGATTAGTTTTTTGGGTTTTGATTTTTTTTCTTTTTTGGCAATCCTGGGGTTTGAACTCAGGGCTACGTGTTTGCTAGACAGTGTTCTACTGCTTGATCCATGCCTCCAGCTACATAATAATAATAGTTATTATTATTATAAATAATAATTATTATTATTTTGGTGGGACTGGGTTTGAACTCAGAGCTTCACATTTGCAAGCCGGGACTCTACTGCTTGAGCTATACCTCCAGTCCCCTGTACTCCAATAATGTCTCAGAATGTTAGAGTCTGGAAGCCCCATCTTCAGTGTGGCTACACCAAATACCAATGAGGCTCCACACAGGAACACCCCATGGGATGTCAAGAACACCATGCCCCCTTGGGACAGTACTTGGGATTCCATGGTGGCTCAGACCGTACTCTCATGACATCAGGCACAATGACAGATTTTACATGCCTGGTCCTCAACAATAGCACACTGAATGCTGTAACTGCCCCATCCACACTGAGATCACACATGATAACAAAATTCCAGAGTGTCTAGTGACACTAAAATGGCTTAATGTACTGCCCCTAATAACATTAGCAGCCCCACCCCAAAGATATCTCATAAGATGTCATGGAGACCCTAGCTCCACCCCTCCCTCATGACTTCCCAGCTGGTTGAAATCATCAGAGTGACTTTCGGATATGACATCATGGAATGCCATGCAGGCCCACCCCCAGTGACATCACTGGAAAGAGGAGCCTTTGAGTACCCCCAGGTATGGCCGAGGATGTCCCTTGGCTTCCCCTTCCCTTCTAGCCAGTTTTGGCTTCTCTGGACACACCCCGGTCACATTTCTGGCCCTAATCCAGGGATAAAGCCAGCTCCTTACACTGGCAGAAGCCAGATTCTGGCCAAGCTCTAGGGACCATCCTAGAAGCCCAGAGAGGACCCGAGGACAGGTTCATGCTTCATGTGCCAAGCCATGGTGGGCCTCTTGCCAGACCCTGGGCTTGTAGACATGGATGAAAGCTTCTTGCCAGGTTCCTCACAGGGTACCCTCCAATCACCTATCTCCAGTCCATTCCCAGATGGGCTTTCCAGAATATGACCAGGAACTTGATAGTTTCTTGGTAACCACATCACAGGTCCCAGAAACACTGCCCGATGTGATGCAAGGGATGAGAGCAAGACCAGGAGGGTCCTTCTTCGCCAATTGCTATTGACCCACCTTGTGCTCAGAGCACCCCATCCCCAGCCCCTGATCTGTAGGCAAGGCAAGGACAACAGAATCAGATGCCTTGATGGCCAGGAAGTCACATCTGGTTTTCAAAGCCCAGCCCACTCCCCAGATTTCATAGGGGCATCTGTGACCCTCAGGATGTCTCCAAACACAACCTTACCCCCAAAGTCATTGCCAGAGGGAGCCTCTTCTAACGACAGGAGTTTGTTGCCACCTTAGAGTGCAGAGATTGAACAAAGGGAAAAAACCAGCAACAATGAGGGAAAAAAAAAGAACTCTGGAGGGCAAGCTAGGCTACCCATTTGTGAAGCTGTCCTGCAGAAAAGCCACTTGTTCCTCTGGCTCCTTGTGCAAGGCTGTGCCAGCCCAAAGAAGTCATTATAGAAAAGAAGTTGAAAATGTCTACAGTGAACACCCAAGTACCCACCACTATGCTTCTACTGTAACATCCTTCTCATCTTACTAAGTCACATGGTGAGCTCACTCTTTATCCACTAGTCTGTCTTACTATGGAGGCAGTTCAAAGAAACTTCCAAACCTTAGTGTGCTTCCATCTGGGGTCAATTTCACAATACCTAGGTTGTTAGGGGACTGTGTGTAGAGCTCCAACAGCTGGACATATAGCAGGACACCCCTAAAGAAAGACACCTTATGGTGGGGCTCCCCAACAGTAGTCACCCCACAACATGTGCTCAAAGCACCCCACAGCAGGTATCCTCATGGAAAGTCACTAACCATCTATGAAGAAAGTGTTGTCCCCTGTAGCAGAAAATTTGAGGTGAACGGGGAAAGCAGCTGCAAATCTTGCACAGAAGGGCGGGACTGCAACCACAGAGGGGACACTGCCAGACAGGATGGGAGTGTTGAGATCATGATGGCTGTGTGAGCAAGGGTAACAGAATGACTTCCAAGGGAGGCTGGGCCCAATCAGCTAGGGCCAGCTGCAGGCCATCTGGAATGGCCTTCCTTCAAAGCTGCCTGGTAACATCTTTCTCCCTCAGGCATGAGCCAATTTGGGTCTTTTCTTCCTTTTCCCTGATTCTTTCTGGCCCCCTCTCCCCATTCTCAGGTGTGGGCTGAGATGATCCTTGTTCCTAAGGAGAGCTCAGCCTTCTTGGGGCCTGGTCAGTAGCCAAACATTCCAGAGGGGAGCTGCCGAGCTGGCTCCTGCCTGCCCCTGGCACCTTTCTCCCTGCACCTGTGTCTGCCTATCAGGGCACAGTTGGCCTGGCCTTTGGCTGCCCTGAGCAGGGTCCAATGTCCCTCAGGGTGGGGTTGGGGTGCAGATATCCTCTTATAGGGAGGGAGGTGCTCTTCTATTTTGTCCAAGTGTCCTTAGAGAAGGAGGCTGGATGGAGACAGGGCTCTAAAGACAGCCAATGGCCATCAGATACCCTTCCCCCCTCCAAGGTGCAGCCTAAGCTGACTGGGGGAGGAGAGTGGCACCTCTGGACCCTTTCCCAGAGCCTAGGGCTCATGGAAAGTATAGTTCAGGCATGACATGTCTGTGCATCTCTTGTCTGATTCTCCATTCCCCTCTCTCTGTTGACTTTGTCCCAGAAAAGATTCAAAGCACCCGAACTCTTGGAGAGTTTTTCTTTTTAAAAAGCATTTCTATCCTCTCTTTAAAATTCTCTTTGGAATGAGTGTTTCATTCCTACTTCATTTTTCACTTTTCTCCAGTCAATAGCTACCTCTCAATGGTGACCCCAACCCTGGGCAGAGCCTAGAGAGGCCTCAGATGGGAGGCTCTGGGTGTTTTGAGGCCAAGATCAGCCACCCAACCCATAGGAGCCCTTCTGTCTTGCTGGGCTGTGGTCTTGGGGCACCCCAGAGGGTGTCACAAAGGTGGCTGGTGACAGGGCAAACTGGGCGGCATGGACTTTGGAATGAGCCTGACCTCAAGCTTCTTTGGTATAAAGCTCCACACCCTTAAGTGTCTAGAGTATGAAATGCCTCTCTTTCAGGATTGTCGTGAGGATTGAATTATTAACCGAGCTATAGCTCGGTTAATAAGGATGGTGCAGACCTGAGGAAGTTGCAGGAAAGCTCCAAAACCAAAGAAATGCAAGTGCTGACCCCACCTCTCCCCAGGGAGGTGCCACAAGGGCCCAGGCTGGCAGGCTGCCTCCCATGGACTCCATAGGAAAAAGACCCAAGGCTAGCAGAGGGTTGGAGGTAAGGGGTAGCCCCGACAACCAGTCTTGAGCCACTTGCTGTTCTTAGAGGGGCAGGGAAGGGGGTGAGGGGTAATTCTGTCCAGTGTCCTAGAGGAACAAGGAGCCAGGTGGGGCTCCCCCTGCAGTGCCCCCATGCTGGCAGCAGGAGGAGCAATTGGCAGCCTTCCTGCTAGCAAGGGGGCATTATTGAAAGTTTCTAGCCATCTCTTCTAGTACTCAGAAGCAGACAGGCCCTTGCCTTCCTGTCCTCCTTGTCCTGCTGGGAGTGGTGCCCAGGCTGAGGGCAGGTAGCAAAGTCTAGGAGCAGTTCTAGGCTTCTATTGCACCTCCTCCCAGCCCTCCTGGAATTTCCACGGACTCCTCCCCGGCCAACAGAGTACATTTTAACATTGTGCAAATTAAATTACCACCATGCCACGCTAGCTCCCTTCCCATCTGGTCTCCCCTGGGAGACCTCTCTGAAAACTTTTGTCTCCTCATAGCCTTACCCACCAATCCCACTTTGGCAGTTAAATAAGCCACTTTGGCTGGCGGACTGGCTCAAGTGGTAAGAGCACCCGCCTAGCAAGCGTGAGGCCCTGTGTTCAAATCCCAGTGCTGCCCCCACAAATAGCCAGGCTCTTTTACACCCTGCTTTGTTTGCTCCAACTTATTCCTGTCTCCTTCCTCTGCCTTCTTCACCTCCAAACTTCCCCAAGAAGGGACTGCAAGTCCTGGTTCCACCATCTCCCACCCCTTCACACTCAGCCATCTAGCCTTGGTGCCTACCTTCCACATATAGCAACACTTATGTGCAAACAGAGGAAGGGGATGTCATTGCTCCTCTCTATCTGACCAGTCCAAGCCACTGTCCCTCCCCTTTTGTCCTCTTATTCAGGCTCATAGTCTCATCTGTGTCCCGGGTGTGGCCAGTATAATGCTCTTGTGTGCACTTGGCTCCCAAGAGCCCCCAGCAAATTCTGCCTCACACCTTCTAGGATGGTTCTGCCAGTAGAGTTAGAGCCTGGCTACAACAGGATGGAGAAGCTGTGTTTGCAAATGGGAGGGCTGGGGGTTGCAACCAAAGGAAGTCCCTGGATGAGAGGGGAACATAAAAAGGGAAGGAGACTTGGAGTTAATGCTTTGTCTGTCTCCCAGGCTGAAGGGTTGTCCCTACAGGGCTCTGCATCTCTCAAACCTGCCATCCCACAATGGCAGGTTTAACTGCCCATGCAGGGTACCTGTGTCCTAGTCTGGGGACCTCCAAGTACTCCTTCCCTGGGTCCTAGGCAGACTCATATCCTCTTCCTTCAGAGCCCACAAGGGGTCACAGGGAGCTCTTGGGGCCTGGCCTGGGGGCACATCTAAGAATGCATTCCCAAGCTGTGACTCTGCCTCTTATCATCCCTTGTTGGATGGACAGATAGATGGTTGGAGCCTCGAGGCTTGCCTGACCTTCAGTGCGGCTATAAACAGCATGGCCTGTCAGCACTGATAGGTGCTGCCCAAGAACCATCCCATAACGTGCTCCAGTAGTCTCGAAATTCCAGGAATTGCCAGCACAGCTACCTCCAGAACAGTCCCTGCCTGGCTTCTCCACCTCCCCAGCGACCCTCTGTTAGTGTTCCCACCTTAGCTGGGAGAGTCTAATAAATAACTGAAACTGAAACCAGCAGAGTGGCAGAGGTCTCTGGGCTGGTGGCCCAGGCGAGCCTGCCGTGTGGGGCAGAGGCCTACCAGGGAGAGGCAGGCTGCTCCTAGGCCTGAGTTCAGCCTTACTGCTCTGCCAGCCTCACAGCTAGCCAGGTGGGATGTGTTTCCACACTTGAATTCTCACACATGTGGAAGGCACGGTCTCCATTTTACAGGAGAGACCACTGAGGCTGGCACAGTTGAGAGCAAACACGTGCCCTTTCCCTAAGGTGGGGGCATAATAGGCATGAACTTTACACCAGCCCCTGCCCTTCTGGCCAGTGGGTCTGGCAGGGAGGGGGATGGGCTGTGGACCTGTTGGGAGGGGGGCTCCCACCCTTCTCTGGTTCCTGGAGAATTGCCTACCATAGGGGAGGGAGGGGTGAGAGGGCAGCTCAGGTTGCAGGCTCTCCGCACCTGTCCAGGATAAATAAAGGCATTTTCCTCCTGCCTCCAGAGTCTCCCTTCTGAATCCCTTCTCTGGGGGTTCTCAGGCTAAGACCCACTAAAGGGAGGCCTTCAAGGTCTGCTTCTGTCTCAGGGTGGTGCAGTGGGGCCCATGGCCAGATCAGGTATAAGAGCTACCACTCAGCCTGCAGGTGGCAGGTATTCTTTCAGAAAGAGAGGTGACAAACACCTGCCCCTTGGGAGGGGATGGGCTCCCCCAAATCCCTAGTCAGAGAGGAGAGGGAGCAGGCTCATCTGGCCTGTGCATGAATGTAAGCCTGTTTGCCTGCCTCTGAGGTGAGATGGTTGTCTCATCCCTGCTTGCTTTACCACCTCTCAAGTGTCAGGCAGTGGATGTGGCTGGGGGTTTGGACCCCTGCTGAAGATGAGTAGACCAGGCTCTGGCCCGACCTCCCCGTGAAGGGAATACTACCTGTGGTGCCCATGCAAAGGCTTAGACCACAACTCCAAGCAGTGTCCACCAGCCAGTGTGGCAAGTGGAGAGTAACTGGGATGGGAGTGGGAATCCTCCAGAGAGTTCTCTTTGAGGGGCTATTCCTGGGGCAGAGGGGCCTTGGGAACCTCAGCTGGAGTTATCACGGCCCTGGTATCTGTGGAGTGTGCCTGGCCCCTGGCACCAAGTCTGGGATGCCCAAGCCCATGGTGTCTGTGGTCCACCAGAGGCATTTTTCAAGAGACTCCAGTGTCCAGTACTTCCTCTCCAGGTGATTTGGGGTGTGTCCCAGAAAGAAACCAAGAGGCCATTATGCCCATCCCCCGATGCCCTGCCTGGGTTCTATTTTTAAAATCCCCCCTAGTCGTTGGCTCCAGCACATCCCAACACACCCCCTCCCCGAGTGAGGACATTCCTCCTGCTATCTAGCTTAAGGCCTCTGTGCTGCCATTTAAGACCCTTGCCATCAGGAGCCAGGTGGTGCATAGGTCCTGGGTGAGGTCATTGGCTATCCTGGGTGCCACTGAGCCTGAAGGCTAATTTGTACCCACAGGGCAGGGTAGCAAGCATCAGGAGCAAGCCTCAGGATGGTGGAGCTGGGGAGATATGGGCTCAGTCTTAGGCATGGGAGGCCAGAGGGCCCATGAGACCTGAAGGAGAGGACCTGCAACTATGGGCTTGGGAGTGAGGTCATGGTAGCCACTGGGCTCAAATGCCCATATGTCAGGCTTTGGGTGTCCTTTTTAGTATGGGACCCTGTGGTCTTCAGGGCAGAGGTCTGGAGGGCAGAGACTCCAGATCTCCAGCTGAAGGGTGGAGAGCAAGGCCCTGCCCTAAGCACCCATGCCAGGTTCCAAAACCAACAGTGCTCCTCCACTGGGTCTATTGCCCCCTACTCCTCTGTCAAGCACTTTCCAGACCTTCCCAAACTTACCCATCAAGTGCTATCCCCAGGTGCTTGCCAAACAAGTCTCTACTTCCCTGGGGAAGAAACTGTCCTTTCTCCTATGGGGAGGCAGCCACCCAGATACCCCTATCCACTCACCACCCTCCAGTGACAGTCTTGGTCTCACCTTGCCCCTCATGCCCAGATCAGCACTGCCAGGGGCTCAGTTACTAGGCAGGGGTTGTCTTTGCTTCTCACAGGCCTTGCAGTCTCCCTGAACCTTGGGGTCTTCAGCCACAGCTCTGCCAGGACTGCTGGGGCGCGCCTTTATCTGACAGATATTGACTGAGCACCTACTGTGTTCTAGGCAGAGGCCTAGGTGCTGGGACTGTGCAGTTAAAACATGGTCCCTTCTCCTGTCTTCCTCTGGAGTATGTCTATCTTTTGGCATTCCTCGGCTTTGATATCTCCAGCCTGGCAGTAGTGATCTTCACAACCCTTGTTGTTCTGTGTCCTCCCTGTTAGGCAAGACCTAACCACGGCATGGCAGGACCCAGGGGCCATTTCTCCCAGGTGAGCATGGGGGGAAAAGGCAGGTGGGCCAGGCAGCCCCTGGTTCAGGTGAGGAAGGAAGGCCTAGCCCCATGAACCAGCCAGTGTGGGGGCCCTGGCAGGCTTAGACAGCAGGTATCTCAGGTTTGGTAATTTTGGGTCTGAGATGAAGTGGGTGCTAGAACCCAGCAACCAGTCCAGCTGAGCCACACACCATGACATCAGGGAAGCAGGGGCAGCAATCTGTCCATCCATCTATCTGCCCACCTGTCACCTAGTCTCCCTGTACTAGGACTGCTCTTTTTCCAAAGCAGCTGCCCACTTTGAGGGTGGGACTTCCCTGAGCTACCTGAGCCCACCCTGCAAATTCAGCATTTTCTTCTCTGCTCTAAACACCTGCCACTTGTCCGTGATGATTCACTCAGATGGGCAAAGTCCAGGAGACAAGTTTGGGTGTTCCAACATTAGCTGTGGCCAAGATCAGGAGACCCTTCCAGTGGAGCCCACAGACTGGGGATAAGCCAGGCTCTGCTTTCCAAGGGCCCCAAAGAGGACAGATGGACAGACATACATGCCCTCTTCCAAGTGTGCCCCACCCCTTTGGGAGCCAGGCTGTGGCACTGCACACTCACCCGGGAAATAGTGAGGGGCATGTTGAAGTCCTTGCCCCCCTGCAGACGGAAGCCCCAGGGTCCAGGCCCAGTCAGGGTTACACTGTAAGACATGCTGATGGTGACAGCAGCCGCCTCTGTGGATGAAGGGTGGAAAGAGTCAGGTGAGAGGGTACTCATGTACCCCACCTCCCCAGCCCACATCTTTGCCCCTGCCCCCAACCCCCGACCCCCAGTCTTGCCTGCTCTGTTTCTTGCTGCCTGGCCAGGCTGTGTGGAGCTCCTGAGAGACTCCTAAGAATAGCTGGGAGTGAATGCCGTTGACACTGATATCTGCCCTTGCTGCGCCCATAAATGGACTGTAACCCTACACTGGGACCGCCCGCCGTGGCCTCTCAGCCGGTCCACCATGACTCACGCGGCTAATATAGCCCTTGGGAAGGGGTGTCCAGCACCCAGAACCCCTCTAGAAGGCAGGAAGGCAGGATTTGTCTCCCTTCTGCCCTCTGCAGATCCCATACACTCTTTCTCTGCTCCGCAGACCCACCCCTGGCCCAGGAGACTCTGGGCCGAGCTCCCTTGGGCAAGGGGTTTGCTGCTCTGTGCTCCCTGGTGGGGACCCTAAAGTAGTACCTTACCCAGTGTGGGACTCTGGTAGTGCCTAGGACTGACCTCAGCCTCCAGTGGATCTGGAGAAAGCTACAGCCCAAAAGGCCACTGACTGGCCCTGGGGTTGTCCAGCCATAAAAAATGATCACATAGTAGAAGTACCTCTGGTCAAGCTCAGCCTGTGGCCCTTCACACCATTATCCCTGAGTCCTAAGAGGCTGCCACCTTGGTCTGTAGGAGCCAAGGCTCAGAGAAGTTAAATGACTTTTCCAAGGTCACACAGGAAATGAACCCTGGCAGGTCCTACTGGAGCCTGAGCTCATTCCAATGGGACTCATGCCAGAAAACGGACTCCCAGTGGCTGCAGGCACCTCCCAAATCCCTGGACTGAGAGGCTGGGCCCCTGCCTGCACTGCTTGGCACAGGGACTGAAGGTAGGTCTGAGGCAGACCCACCCCTCCAGACCCTCTGGGGCCCAGCTGGTTATTCCTGGCTCTCCTGTCTCATTTGTGCCCTGGAAAACTTGACAGTAGCATGGAAAGCTCCAGCTGCCAGCACCTCACACCAGGCCCCGTGCCCTTTGCCCAGGAATGGCAGGGGGCAGGGAGGAAGGGCAGAGATGCCACTTGCTCAGCTGCTAGGACTCAGGGCCAAAAGGGGCAGGGAGAAAAAGTGTGTGTGGCGTGTTCAGTCCACACCTCAGAGACAGTGTGTTCCAGTGAAAGCCTTGGCCCCTTGGGACTCCTGCCAATGTGGACTTTGAGTCAAAATGCCTGGAAGCCCTCCTCTAAGAGAGACCCCAGGCTCTGTATGATCTGGAGACAGATCAAGACCAACTCTGGTCTCCACCTGGGGAAACTGAGGATCGAGAAATATGACCAGGTTGGGTTGAAGGATTGCTGGCCTTCTTAGAGGGCCATAATCTGGGCTAGGCCCTGAGGATTTGGTGCAGGCCTGGATGTGAGTAACTTCCCAGCTGCCAGCACCCCGGCCTCACACCCCAGGCTTTGCATATGCAAGGTGTGTGGTAAGGGTGCCCATGTTTGTTACAGGATTGTTTGGTAATTTGCCCCAAATCACAAAAATAGCAAGTGAAAGAAGCCAGAGAGGGACCTGTATTCCCCCTCTCCACTCTTCACCTCCTTCTCTGCACTGTACTACGCCACACTACTTGGCCTGGCCCAGGAGTCCGGCAAACCATCTTCTCCCATAACATTCTCTGCCTCCTAGGCCCCATGCCATTCATCCTTAACTCCAGCCTTGTCCCCTTTCTTAGGTGTGTCTGTACTGCCAGGCTGGAGAGGACCCAGTGTGAAGAAAAGAAAAAGGCCAACCCTGCATGGGGAACCCAGGCAAGGCTGTACCTGAAGCTTCAGGTTCTTTCTCTGCAGTCTGATACCTACCTGATGCTTGCCTCTGGGAAAAAGGTGGAGTGATAGGAGGAGGCTCTTAAAGAGGAAGGCTAGCCTCCTTCCATAGGCCTCCCCTGGGAGACCAGAAGCCAGCTGGAAAGCAGCTGGTATCCACAGGCTGGGCGGGGCTTAGCAGCTCATTGGGGAGTGGGGATGGGCCACACCTGATCTTTGTCCCTCTGCAGTTTGAGATGGATTTTCAGGAGTGAGAGTCCCAAGCTGGGGGCAAGTTGGGGGTGGGCAGGAGAAGGGAAGAAAGAAACTGCTGGAGACACCAGGGCTAGGCCCTGCTCTCTCTTCCATCACAGCACCAATAGGTAGACACTTTGTTTGTCAGAAAAGACTTTTTCTGCCTTTTATTCTTCTATGCCCTGTCAAAGGCACAGACTGGGAGGAACTTAGACCACCAATATGAGACAAACCACAGGGGCAGAGCGTGTGCACACGTACTCAACGAGCATGCAATCTACAGGGGAGTGTGGCTGCCATGTGGGCTGCAGGGGGACGATATGGGGGTGAACCAGAGGTGAGGAAGTATTTTCAATGCACAAAGTGAGGTCTGTGTTCAGTTGGCCTTCCCAGGCCAGTGAAATACCCAGCCTAGGCACACAGGCTGGCCAAGATGCTTGGTTCATAAATAGCTGGTGTGTTCCCTGGAGACATCACCGATGTCATTGTCTGGACAATTCCAGCACACAGCATTTGAGGGGCTGGAAGCCGGATGGCCTTTGTAGACGCTCTTTAGGCTGAGCCTGGATGCAACTGCTGAGCTGAGAAGTGGATGAAGACCACATTGCAGGGCAGGAGTTTTGCGGTATGGAAAGGGGACACAGGACTGAGGATAATTTCAGCACAGCATGGGTGATGGGAGGCGGGGCAGGGAAGGGGATGGAGCTAGACATGTCCCAGAAGAGAGAGCCAGTGGGTGTCCTACATCCTGGGGTCCAGGTTGGGGAGCTGCCCCTTGATCTGAAAATAAACAGAATGCATCCATTTACCCAAAGGAGCATCCCAAGGGGAGCAATCTTCCAGTGACCCTCTGGGTTTGGGGTCACTAAGAGGTGAAGGCAGGTTATATGGAAGGGCCAGGTTGAGGTGCAGGTTGGGGGGTGGGAATTCTCAAAGACCAGATCTTGAAGAAGGAGCCTGCAGAGTCTAAGGCTGGCTGTCGGACAACCCCTGGGACAGCCACAGGCTCTTAGACTCGTGGGTTTTGGGCAAAGCTCCTCCTCATGCACACCCTCCAGTTCATCCCTTCTCTGCACTCCTGATGTCTCCTTACAGAGTCACTCCTTGCCTGTCTTACTGCACCAGGAAACTTTGCCCTGCAGGCTTACTCCACTCAACTCAGCCTTCCGGGGACACATTGGCAAGTCCTAGCTAAACTACAAAGCTAACCAAGCCCCTTCATGGGCTCTGTCCACCAGGGTCAGGTCTGGAAACTCTTCAGGCCACCGCTCCCATAACCTTTTGTCCTTTTTCCCTTCTATGTCTCCTCTGCCATCCCCAGAGCCCCTTTGGATGCTCCCAGGGTCACAGAGAGACATCCTATCCCAGGACATGCCAAGTTCCCTCCCCTGAACCCTTCTGGGTTCACATAGGACCTTGATTGGGATGGCTCAAAATTCCCCCACCTCAGTTGCCCAGAGATCCCACTTCACTTCCACCTTCTCTGGGGGGGCTCAGGGACTTGCCTCTGCTTCAGGCAGGCTGCGTGCTCTTAACTCAGTGGCAGTGCTTATCAGGCATGTCTGGTGACTGCTGATGGCTCACCCTCTCTGCCAGTGCCCCTGGCCAGCCCCTCCTCCCTCCAGGCAGGCACTGTATCTTTCATCATTGCCTGGCCAGTCCAGGGGTCACTGCCAGGTCTCTGTCCTGCTTCCTATGACATGAAATGCCAAGATGGGGAGTGGTGCTCCCTGGGAAGGTGAATGCTGGGGTGAGGGCAGGGGCTCCCCTCTCATGGACAAAAGGTCAAGCAGCATGAGGGAAGGAAGACAGGACTCGCCAGTGATCTTGGGCTGGCTAGGGAAGCCAGAGAACACCCAGTTGCTGGTGGGTGGGGGTGGGGGTGAGGGGAGGGCAGGGTGGGGAACCATCAGCTGATGGGGAGAGGCTGCCTGGGTGCCTGTGCTCACGACATTTGCAGTGTTCCAGAATATGGCCCTTCTCTAATCACCATCAACATTCCGTTCCATAGGCACTTGGGCTGACAGCTGGCCTTCTTTTAATAGCCACAAGTATTCTGCGTGACATCCTGGTCTCAGGGCATTCTTGGTGAGCACACACGTAGCTTGCAGCCCCTCCCCCAGGTTTATCCAGCATTGAAATCACACAGAGAGGTGTACATCATCCACAGTCAGTCACATACAGCACAGAGCAGACACGCAGGGCACACTTGGTCATGTGTCCTGGGGTGTCACAATGACAGCAAATGCCAGGCACATGGTCACTCACATGCATTACTTATGGTCTCCTCCCTCATGGACACACACACGTATACACATCCATCGTGGCACAACACAGCTAACAGCATTGCCTGCTACATGCGTGCATGGTTACACCGTCACACACAGACACACCCAGCGTGGTAACAGACCACACTCAGGCCCTGCCTAGGACTTCTTAGAGTCACAGAGACACCCAGGCAGGCAAGAGAGAGGAGAGGGGGTGATTCCCAGAGAACACTGGGCCTGCCCAATAAAGCAAACCCCTCCCCTTCCTGGCCACTCCCTGGGGCTACTTGACCCTGTTCCTGGGCTCTTTACAGATTGGCAGGTTCTGGGCCCAATCACCTTCCCGGGAGTCTTGGCTTCCTGTCCCTCAGGTCTGGGAGGGTCCTTGACTTCCCAGTCCTCCAGGCCCTGACAGGATGGGGATTGTCCACTCACTGGCTGAGCAGCCTCCCATGAAGCTGTTGCCATCGTCTCTGTCCATCCCTGAAGGAGGTAGGAAAATAACTGTGAGGTGAGATGAACAGCCTGCAGAATGCTCCTGTCCCCTGCCACCAGGGCCTTCTCCAGCCTCCCCAGAGGTATTCATTGCGGGAAGGCCACTGACACCATTACAAGGTTGTGGTCACCAAATCCCAGTAAACTGTACCTATCTGTGCCAGGGTGTGTGCTTGTATGGGTGCCTGTCACCTGTACAAACACCTTCCTAAGCATGCAGGTGTCTAGATTTTTGGGGAGATGCACGGTCTTCATAAGAGTCTAGTCCTCTTTTAACATATTAGATTGATTCCTCAGTTCTTACTACAGTGGTTCAAGAAAGGGACTCAAGATAGTGTCCGCTCCAGGGAGGGCTGTCAGGCTGGAGGCTGCAAGGGCTAACACCAACAGTGGAGTCAACACCTGCCCATGATCACACCACAGTCCCCCAGCCAGTTGTCCAAGCTTACACAGTGAGGATGTGGAAAGCTGAGCCTCAAAGTCAGGTCCCCCTGACTCCAGGCCAGTGCTCCTCCTTCCCCTGTATCCTGTGGTTCTCAAGGTCCTATGGGAGGAGGAGGCTTAATGCGGAGGAACAAGGAGCCCTGATCTGGCTCTTGCCTTGTCTCTGGATGCTCACGTGGGCCCAGAACACTAATCTTTTCAGTCTGTGTTCTAAGAATAGTGTCAGCATGGAAAAGAAGGTGACCTGGAGTTGGAAGACCCACGTTCAGACTGTACACACTGCTGGGTGACCTCAGGCCAGCCCATTCCCTCTCTGGCCCCAGGGCCCTTGCCTGTCACAGAGGATGACACATAGGAGATTAGGAGGGGCTGAGGGTTACCTAGTTTCGATGATAGCCCTGCAAGGGCCCATAGCTCTCCCAGAGCCCTGGGGCTGGTTTGGGAAGGGATGGCAAGGTGTCAGCCAGCAAGGGCTGAGCATCCTTACCACCTTGCTTTCAGAGCCCAAGGACTCCTGGCGCCTCCGTCCAGAGATCCAGCTGAGGTCTGAGGCCTGGCTGCTCAGTGTGGAGTGATGGGTAGAGCGATAGCTGAGGGAGGGGCGGCTGTGCTGGCGTGACACACCCAGCAGGACCCCCAAGCAGGGCAGATGCTGGGCAATGGCCACCCTGTAGGAGTCACACATCTGATTAGAATGAGAGACATGGGGGTTGGGGCACAGACAGACAGATACAGGATAACTAAGGTGGGTGGATGGACAGATGCTCGGTAATGGGAACAGACAGACAGACACTGGGAGTCATTGGAGGTAACAGGGATGAATAGATAGATGCTAAATGATGAGGGTAGACAGACAGACAGATGTTGCAAGAAGGAGACTGACAGGTTCCCAGGGCTGCTGAGATGGAGAACAGACCCTGGGATGGTGGGCATGGAGGGTGAGCCTTGGGGTAGGAGTCAACCAGGCAGACATTGCTTCCAGCCCTCATGTGGCTGGCCCAAGCCACATCTCTGGGAATGGGGACCAGGAACATTCCTCAGCGCTCTGGACTGGACTGGCTGAGGCCTGCAGCTGGCTTTGGGAGGGTGATGAATGATGGATCCCACCAGGCTAAAAGAAGCACTGAGGGCCCCAGAGGAGAGGCACCTTGTTGGAATTCTTTTTGGCAGAGCTTCACTAGTCACAACCACTCAGGACCCTGCCAGGGCCCTTGAGACGGGATCAAGTGCTTCTGATGGGGTCTCCCTAGGGCATTGCTGTCTGGGGGCTTATCTTTGCAAGGGTACCACTGCTGATAAGCTACCCTGGATGCCTTTATGACCCATCTCTGAAGACCTCCATAGTTAGGACTATGCCCAGAAAGCCCTAATACCCTCCAGAAGGTCCCTGGGAAGCTGGGGCAGGAAGAGGTCATGCCAACTTCAAGCCCTACTAGCTGGTACCAGACACTTATGGCCCTGCCCAACTCACATACAAGAGACCCTACAGATGGCTGGCCTCTGCCCTGATCTGTAGACCCTGGCCTTCCATGCCCATAGGTGGACCTGGAGGCCTGGAGGAAGCCACACCTGTATTTGGGGTGGGTGATGGCATAAACGATGGGGTTGTGGATGGCAGAAGCCTTGGCGATGACAGCTGGCACTGAGCTCATGCAGGGTGTCAGGATGTGTGCGTACCTAGGACAGAGGAGATGTCCCCATTCGTTCCCCCAATTTGGCTCTCACCCATGAGTCTTCTTCTGGGTCAGGTCCTGTCAAGGCCCAAACCCCAGCCCAGCCTAAGCCAACACAACCAAGCCAGCCCCATAGGGAGGAAGTAGCAGTGCCAGGGAGAATTCTGGTTTGAGGTGGGTAAGAGGGGAGCTCAGGTGTGGCTGAGGATGGGGCTTTGGAGTGGGAAGGTGGCCAAGTCCCATTGTCCCTTGGAACCTGTATTGCTGGCAGTATTTCCTCATGCCCTCAGACTCTCTGTTGCAAGTCTTCACATACCACACTCTGATGCCCACTGTTCTCTGGCTCTCTTAGAGAAACCTCACAGTAGGCCCTAGAAGGAACTGGACCATTCCTACACAAAAAAAGTCCATACTCAAATAGATCCAAGGTGTTATAGCTCTCTCACTGTCCTAAAAGGGCTTCTGAAGTTTAGCCTTCACCCATGCTGCTGGAGATGCCAAAGTCCCCATGACTCTAGCCACCAAGAACTAGAGGACAGCTCTAGGGATCTGTTCCTAGGTGACAGCACCCAGCTGTGTGCCCACAGCCCGAGTAAAGAGGGAACCAGAACCTCAGGGAGAGCTACATGTTCTCCAAGGGCTGGCAGCCCTCAGGTCAGATCTGAATGTGGTCCAGAGCCTCCCCAGCTGTGCCCTGGTGCTCTAGAAACTGGATAGGCTCCCCTCGGGTAGGGCATGTCACACAGGGAGAGGGGAAGACTGCGAGGCTGGACTTGGGTATCAGGGTGGCTGGCTTGAGTAGAACTGGAAGTTGAGGCTACCTAGGGGGCCTTTCCCCTACCAGCCCCTGCTCACCCAGCAAAGGCCACCAGTGCAACAGTGGAGTAAGGGGCCCAGGAGAGCACGAAGAGGAGGATGATCAGTAGTGAGATCTTGGCCATCTTCCACTCACTCTGCAGCCGCCGCCACTGCCGCCACTGCAGTGGGGACTCATTGCAGCCCTCACAGGCCCTAGGAAGTGCATATTTCAGGTCGCAGCAAACACTAGAGTCATGGTTACTGTTGGGACCTGCCTGGACCATCCCTGGGGCACTGAACAAGGGGTCAGGCCCTTCCTGTGCAGGCAGCCCTGACTTCCAGAACATGTTCTTCACACTGAGCCTCAGCTGTCTTCCTGTGGCTCTACCTGGGGTGCCCTTCCTCAGAAGACCTCATTTCCAGAAACTTCCCTAGGTCCCCCCACCCCCCAAGTGCACGGTCTTCACCTGCCTGGAGCTGGGCATAGCAGACCCCCTCCTTTATCCCTTCCTTCATCTGCGCCAGGCACTTACCGGCGTGTCTCCCGGATGGTCCTGAAAATGAAGATGTAGCAGTAGACAATGATGAGCAGGGGGAAGAAGAACACAAAGCAGAAGAGCAGCATGGTGTAGGCGCGCACTGGGGGCGTAAAGGTCATGTAGTCCCAGGAACAGGATGTCAGCAGCCCCTCGGGCACATAGGCACCTGGGAGCCAGGGCAAGTGCTCAGCCTTTTGTGGTAGCATGACCTAGGGCTTCTAGTCCAGCAGAGGCTTTGTCTGTGGGGTTTGGGGTTCTCAAACCTTACTCTGCCCTGCCTTACAGTAACAAAGCCTGGACAGTTGGGGGGACATGAAGGGAACTTTCCAAGCTGAGTCTGGCTGGGGCATCAGCTCAGAAGACAGCTGGCAAAGCCTGCTGCTGCTGCTGCTTGCTCTTGCTAGACAGCAGCAGAGGACACACAGTAGTCCCAGGGCTCTGGTCCCCAAGGTCTCTGCCCAAGAAGAGCTAGAGCCTTGCTGCACCTCTGCCTGTTTGCAGAGGCCTCACATCCCAGTCCTCTTCCAGTCTGACTCACTACTAACTTAGCAGCAGACATAACTGCCATTTCTCCCACCCAAGAACAGGGTGATCCCTGATGGAGCCTCCCTCTGATAAGCGTCCTCCCCTGGTAAGAGTCCCACTCTGAATGCCCATCTGACTTGCGACTCAGATGGTCTCTGGGATCCCCTGCCAAATTACTGACCCAATTTCACCTACCTCCCCTCCAACTGCTCCCCCAGCCTATCTGCCCCTCCCCCATTTCACCCTCCCACTTACTCCAGCCAAAGAAGGGTGGTAGACTCCACGCCAGGGCATAAAGCCAGACTCCCAGCAGGACAAGCGCTGTCCGTCTCTTGGATGACACCCCAATGGTGGCCAGAGGGCGAGTGATCACTAGGTATCGGTCCAGGGCGATGACCATCAGGGTGATCATGGAGGTGATGCCAAAGAGAGCCCCACAGAAGGCATAGAACTCACAGCCTATGGGCACAGTCCCTGTTCTAAGTCCTTGGGGAGGGAGCCCATCAGGTACCCAAGCAGAGTGGGGTCCAGGGATAGGGTACACTCGGCTCCTTCCCCACCTTCTCAGAAAAGCAGGCCTGATCTCTCTTCACCCTGTCTGCTTACTGTATGTGGCCAAAGCTAGGGGAGGCCTGAAGACCAGAACCAGGTCTTTCCTCCTCACTCACTTTTGGGATTGAAGACTCACCCACTGTCTGCTCAGGAAGAGCGAATCACCTCATCTGAGTCACCCTCCACAGTGAGCATCCTCCTGTCAAACCACTCTCCTCCCTCCAGAGAAGCCCCAAGTGTCTACCTGTCTCCCCAAAGAGCCATTGCTTGTAGAGGCTGCTGACAAAGAAGACGGGCGCCTGGGTGAAGGACATGAGGAAGTCACTGGCCGCGAGGTTGATAATGAACATGTTGGCGGGGGTCCGCAGGCCTCGGCTCCTGTAAGGGTCAGAAGGGGTTAGGGGCTACTTTCTAACACCTCAGGAGTTGTGGGGCACTTCCCTCACCACTTAACTACACATATGCATACCCCACACATGCACACATACATACACATGCACGTGTGCATGCAGACAGACCAGGGCTGGGGCTGCAGACCTATCCCTCTGTCCAGTAGGTACCACCTAAGCAGTGGTTGGTCCCAGTAGTGCGGGCTGAGGGAACCCTTTGGTGGTTCCCTCAGAATGAAGTGGGGAGCACTGTCTCTCCAAAACCTGCTGAGCCACCCAGGGGAGACTAGTTCTCAGTCCTGTCCCTTTTCTCTTCTCACCATCTAGATTTCCTCTCCGTGACTCACACTCTTTTCTTGGATAAATCTCTACAAGCCAGGCCTCCCCAGTGGTTCCTCCCAGGCTCTTCCTCCATATTCCCCGACTGCCTTCCCACTAGATTCTCAAGCTTCAGGCAACCCCTTTGTCCTCTTCCTTCCAGTTCCCTTTACAGCTGTCTGTGCAGCCCTTGCTCTTGGGGTGACAAAGGGCAGAAGAGCTGATTGACCGTGACCACAGGACAGAAACTTAAAAAAAAACCCTCATCTCCCGTCACCATCCATCTTTGCGTCCACTCCCTGAGGAGGGCATCATTCTTCCTATTTTCCAGATGAGAACTCCGAGGCCTTTACTCATAAAGTGATTTGCTCCCAATCATAAAACTCTGCACGTGGCCCAGCCAGGAATCAACCACTCCCTTCCCAGGCAATGCACACTTATGAACTTACTTAACATCCCCTGGACTCCCTTTTGCAGAGAAGAAAAGTGAGCTCAAAGAGGATAAATAACAGGCTTAGTCCTCCCACTAGTCCACGAGCCAGGAATTGTAGGACATTAGCCTGCTCACTTCCCCCACCTGCCTGTTTCAGCCATCAGGCTGCCAGCAGGGCAGGTGGGGAGGGAAGCCCTAGGGGTCTGTTAGGGCTGGTTGCCAAGGAGCTTGAGGACTCAGGGAACCTAGTGCCCAGGGATGCTCTTCAAGATAGAGGGAGGATACCCCCTGGAGCAGGTGATGGCAGAGGCCAGCTGAGAGAAGGGCAAAATGGACAGTGACATGAGGACCTAGGGATTCCCGCCCTCCACAGAGGACCCAGTGGGTGAGTGCCATCCAAGCATCCCTGGACTATTTTCCCCTCTTTCCTGAGTTTGGAGATTACACCCTAGACCTGAGACCATCAAACACTTGGCCCTGATCTCACCCAACCTCAACTGGGCAGAACACAGCAACATTCCTGCCCTTGTGTTCTGCCCCATCTTGCATGGCTGGCCACCCTCAGTGCCCTGGGTCCAGTCCCATCAGCAGGCACCTGCAGAAGGTATAGATGACGGTCAGATTACCCAAAGTCCCAGTGAGCCCAACCAGCAGGATCACTGTGCCCAGGGTGTAGTGTGTGTGGTCTGGAACATCAACTGTGGGGAATGGGACCTGGGCAGCCTGAGCCCCAACTGCCTGTACAGAGAGAGAAAAGGGAAGGTATCATTATCTCTGAAAATGAAGAATTAGGGTTCCCAAGAAGGCAGGTGGGGAAATTTGCCCACACAGTAACCTAGTGGCTGAGCTGGAATAGAAATGCAGGTCTTCTTATAGTTGAACTCAAGCCCCTGTGCATATAGGTACAAGGCTTCTCAGAATAGGCTCAGTCACCTAGTAGGCTGGTAGGACAGACAAGCTTGAAAAGCAGAGACATAGTTTGGGTGACCCTACCTTTCCTTGAAAGGAAGACAGAGCCAACTCTTGGGTCCCAACCCAATGTATGAATACCCCGTATTGAATCTCCCCTCAAAGGATAGGTTACATTCCCCATAGCATAACTGGGTAGGGTTGACCCTGAAGCCTGGCAAGAAAAAGAGAAAAAGAATTTCCTTTAGAAAGAAAGCTTAGGCCAGGCACTGGTGGCTCATGCCTGTAATCCTAGCTACTCGGGAGGCAGAGATCAGGAGGATTGTGGCTCAAAGCCAGCCCCCAGCAAATAGTGAGCTATCTTGAAAAAAAAGAAAAACTATCAAAAAAAGGGCTGGTGGAGTGGCTCAAGATGTAGGCCTTGAGTTCAAACCCCAGTACTGAAAAAAAAAAAAAAAAGAAAGAAATCTAGCTTGGGCCTCCAAGAATCACTGCAGGGAGGTTATCACCCATGAGGTGCACAATTTGCAGACCTGGCTCCCATCTCATCCCCTTTCTGAGAAAGAGTGGTTTGATCTCTGTCCAACATTCTACTCTGGACTGAACAAATCCAGGTGCTCAAGGTATGCCTTTCTCTGTGGAAGTCTCCACAGGGTATCTGGCCCATGTTTGAGAGGAAAGGATACAGCCAAGAGCCATTCCAGCCCCTGTTCTCAGAGTTGGCCTTTGTGGTCCACCAGAGCTCTCTGCAGGAGAAGATGTTGCCTGTACCCTTCTCTCAGCCAATTTGTTCAGGGAAGGCTCAGAGAGGTCCAGTGACATGCCCAGGGTCCCACAGCAGAGCTCAGGCCTTTTCTACCTCCCTGTAAAGCAAGAGGGAGGCCAGGAAGTGGGGAGGAGAGGCTCTGTGCACAAACATGCTCCCCAGACTTACCGTGGAGCTGACCGGTAGAAGCTGGCCTAGGTTGGAAATGTTGCTCTGGGTGCTACCCCACCTGATAGGTGGGGCTGGGGTGGCCACAAAGCTAGGCTCCTGGACCAGGCTTGGAGAGACTCTTGGCCCTGAAGGAGGGTTCATCCTGAGGTGGGGTGGTCCTTGCTCAAGCCCACAGAGAAGTCAAGGGTAGGACTTTGTGCACAGCCTCCCTGCTCTCCTCCATCCTCAGTACAGCTGCCCGTCCACCTGCTGACTGGTCTCACATCCAGCACAAATGCAGCCTGAGCTGATCCTGAGGCTGGTGGCTGCTCAATGTTCAGTGAAGTGTGAAGGCATGAGTGTCACATTTAAGGCCACTCACAGCCACAATGTCCCTCTGCACCTTTAAGTAGAAGCACTGAGCACATGCTCAGTGGCTCCTTGCTTCTGGGTTCCTCAAACATGGCTCCCTGGTGTCTACCCCCTAGTGTCTAATAATGGTGACATGAAGGATGGTGTGTGTGCCTCAGGGACACTGCCAGGCTTAGCACCTGGACACTGGACAGGCTTTGTCCTTCACTCTGAGCGTGCTCTGCTCCCTTTCTTCCCTGGGCTCACCAAGACCTGTTTCTGCTGGGCATTGTGGCTCACTCCTAAAATCCCAGCTATTTGGGAGGTGGAAGTAGGAGGATTACTAGTTTGAGGATAGCCTGGGCAAAGTTAGTGAGACCCTGTTTCAAAAACGAAATATAAACAAAAGGGCTGGAGGCGTAGCTCAAGTGGTAAGAGCACTTGCCTGGCATGTGTGAGGCCCTGGGTTCAATCCCCAGTACTGGAAATTCACCTCCCAAAAGAACCTAAACCATCTTCTGCTGCCCCAGGAGTTCCCATGGCTGAGACAGTAGAGGAACTCAGCAGGTGAGCTGTATGAGCCTACAGCGTGGCATCTTTATATCACCACCCACAGAGTCACAGTGCTGCTCCAACCACAGACAAAGAAATTGAAAGTACGCATAAGGATGAACATAGGGGTGGGGAGGGGGGTGGGGGGTTGGGGGGGAGGCAGATCACTAGGCCTTTCTCATTTGCTGTGTTTTGATCATAAACTTTTATACTGAAGTATAAAAATAAAAAATAACTCACAAAGCTAGAAGAGACCTGGGAACTCACCCAAGCCTGCAGGCCTGGCCCAAGATGACTGCCTGTCAGAGGGAGAAGGGGCCTGGCTCACCTCATCCCCCTTAGAGAAGCAGCAGGAACTGGAAGCCATAAGTCCCAGAGTCGAAGATGGAGAGGGAAGATGAGCATACAGTTTTCAGGAAGGCTGACCGGGAAGGTCTGCTGGCTTCCAGGACATTCTGTGTGGGACGAGGTCCCCAGGAACCGGGTGGTGATTTGTGAAGTACTGGAGTGGGGCGATAGCCTCTCTTCCGGGGGTTCCCATCTTCACAAATAGTTGTCCTAGAGACCAAGCTGTGGACTGGAGAGCAGGAGCACCCTCATTCAGGAGGGAAGCCGCACTTCCCAGCCAGCATTCAGGCCAATTTGTCCTTCCATTACCCACCTCTGACTCACAGAGGCTTGCCCTGGATGCTGGGTGAAGCTGAGGAACTGGTTCTGCTGTTAGTCCTTAAGCTCACTGTGGACACACCAGCTGCTTGTTTTTGGGCTTAAGGACTCATTCCAGCTGGGAACAAGTGTGAGTGATGCAGGCAGTGTAGCTGGGGGTGGCATGCCAGGAAGCAATGTTTGTCAAGGGGACAGGTGAGGAGGGAGTCTATATACCTAGGATGCCACAGACCTGAAATCCACACCTCAAAAAAGCCCAAGAAATTGAACTCCTCCTTCAGAAGCCCACAGCTCTCTTGGATCTCCATGTCTGAGATCTCCTAGGAGCTCAAGCCCTCCCCCCCATGCTTTTTCTCCTCTGGGGGGAAAAAGCTCCCTTGCCCACAGCCACTGTCCAACTGAGGCCGGGAGGCTATGTGGGCAGCTTCAGCCTCCAACTGACCCCTCTGGCTACCACTGCCTAGGCTGTCCTGGCTATAAGCCAAGGCTGGAGGTTGGAGTGACACTGAGCATTAGGATGTCTTCTTTCATTACCATGAGTTTGACAATCAGCAGAGGCCGCCAGGGCAGCTCTCCCCATAGCCTGTCCATTGTGTAGTATGACAGAAACTGCACATGGGCAAACTAATTAGTTACAAGAATAGTCTAACAAAACAATGAGCTTTGTTCTCGAGATTTGCAGAATTGAAAAGCATCTCATAATTTGGTTTTTGGGATCAGATGTGCAGCATCTAAACCGCCTGCTGTGAGGAGTCACCCAGCAGTCTGTGGATATCCATCATCTGCTGTAAGGAGGTGCCTGCCAGCCTGGAGTTACCCATCACCCACTGTGAAAAGGTGCACACCAGTCTGGGAACCCCACCAACCAGCCATATAAGTCACTCCTAAATCAGCTTCCCAGCAAGATGGACTTTGGACAAGTGTCTTCTATTTTCTCATCCATCAGCCTTTTCAAATAAAGTCACCTTACTTGCCTCAACACCTGTCTCTCGACTTAACTGGCCTGTTACACAGTGAGCAGATAGACCTGGGTCTGGTAATGGGGCTGCTGGCCTTCTGCCAGACAGCTCCTGTCCTCCCAGGTACCCAGCTTCGATCCTCTCCCCTGAGCACCTCTTCCCATACCGCCCCTCAGGACTCACCAAGCTTGGCTTAGAGTGGGTTCCGGCCTCTCTCTGCCTCTCCTGGCTGCCCAATGACAGTTCCATGGGCTATGCCACTTAAGAATTTCAGTGCTGTGACAACTGGGGAAGGAGTCCTCAAACTACATGGTTCCTACCCTGGTTAGTGTCCACTCCCTTAGAAGTGGGCTCTGGGCAGCTCCTGCTCTCACTGGACGAGTCCCATAGGACAGGGCTGATCTTAGCATGCAGGGTCTTCCAGTGCTTTGTGCTGTCTATGGCCTCAGGGACTCTGGCACTGGTAACAGAGTTGTGGTACCCATACACCTCCTCTCTTTAATCTCCCCCTTTCTCTCGCCCCTCTTTTTTTTTTTTCCACTGTGTAGGAGAACCCATTATTTATTTATTTATTTATTTATTTTATTTAACGTTCTTACATTTACTTACATATGTATACATCTTGCCCCTCTTCGTACAGCCCATTTTTCATGCCTAAAGGCTTTTGGAAACACAAATTCCAGCTAGACAATCCCATGCCTAACGCTTTCATAGCTTCTGACTTAGAACCCTACCATGGTGAGAGAAGGTTCTAACAGTATCACCTGGTATGGGGATAAGAAGTGGGTTTTAGCTGAGTGTGGGGCTACTCACCTGTAGTCCCACCTACATGAGAGGCTGAGGCAGGAGGATCACTTGAGTTCATGAGTTTGAGATCCTGCCCCAAGGCAAAAAAAGTGAGTTTTATTGGGAAAACTAAAACACCAAGGGTCAATAAGAAGTATGATGTTGCCGGGCACCGGTGGCTAACACCTGTAATCCTAGGAGACTGAGATCAAGAGGATCACTGTTTGAGGCCAGCCAAGACAAATGGTTCACGAGACACCCGTCTCCACTATAACCAGAACAGCCAGTCCTGGTGGTGCACGCCAGGAGGCAACGAGGTGAAGCGGATAAGGCAGGAGTATCACATGTTCAAGACCAGCCTGGGCTACACTTCAAAAAAAATCAGAGCAAAACAGACCAACTGGGAGGTCTGTTGGAGATGTGGCTCAAGCCATAGAATGCCTACTTTGCAAGCACAAAGCCCTGAGTTCAAACCCCAATCCCACCAAAAAAAGGAAAGGAAGGAAGGAAGAAAAAAGAATAGAATTATGCTGCTCCCTGCTCAGTGTCTGTGTGCGTGCATCAGGCTGCTGTCACACCATGAGGCTGTGTGCAGGGGCAGGGACCTGGCCCTTGCTACTGTCCCTTTCTGACAATCCACCAGAACAGCCTTGTTGGGGTATAGAGCAGCCAACTTCAGGCGCCAGGCAGTCTGGATGTGACTGCCAGCTGAATGGAGAGGTATCTGAGAGCACCAGCTGCCAGCACCTGGGGACCTTTCTGGAAGTTGGATCTGGGCTCTGGGCGGAGGGGAAGCCTGATCACAAGGGTAACATCTTCTGTTGGAGGAGGAACAGCCATTGAACCTGCCTAGCTTGGTGCCCGGTTGGTCTCCTCTCAAGCCACAGAAAGCACACAGTCCTGGTCACCCAGCCCCTCTTACATGCTTCTCCTAAAATCCTTGTTGTCCTCTGCTCAGGATCTCTGCTGAAACACACCTAGCCAAGGTCATCGAGGAGACTCAGGATTGTTCACATCCTCCTGTGCGTCCTTTGGAGCACTCACCAATGGTGTCATTTACAGTGCTGTCATCTCCCACTCTCCCTGAACCACAGGTGTTCACCCCAGAAAGTATCTGGCACATTGTGTGAGGAAACCAAAAAAGTACCTGGCACATTGTGTAAGGAAACCAAAATCTTCTTCTTTTTTTTTTTTTTTTTTTTGGTGGGACTGGGGTTTGAACTTAGGGTTTTGTACTTGCAAAGCAGGCACTCCCAAAGCAGGCACTCCCAAAGCAGGTGCTGTATGGCTTGAGCCACACCTCCAGGCCATTTTTTGCTCTAGTTATTTTGGAGACTGGGTGGGGGAGGGTCTTACAAACTATTTGCCTGGGCTGGCCTCAAACTGCAATCATCCTGATCTCAGTCTCTGAAGTAGCTGAACCACTGGCACCCAGCACTTCCTTCCTTTTTTTTTTTTTTAATTAGTACTGGGGCTTGAACTCAGGGCCTTATGGTCACTAGGCAGGTGTTCTACCACTTGAGATACTCTGCCAGCCTCAGAATTTACACCTTACTTATTTATTTTGGTGTATGAATTTTGAACTCAGGGCTTTGTGCTTGCTAGGCTGGCAATCTACCATTTGAGCCACATATCTAGCCTGGGCACTTGCTTCTTAAAGTGTGCCGAGCGTCCTTGGTCACTTCAAGTTGCCTGGAACTTGGTGGAAATGCGGACTCCCCAGACCTACTGACTCAGATTTCTAGTACATAAGGGGAGGTCCTGGTCTGGACTCTTCAGAAGACTTTCAGGGGTGGTAACAGGTAGTGGAAGAGCTGATCTGAAGAGAAACTGAGGCCACACAGAGATCAGTAATAGAAGGGTGCCCTGCTTTGCCCAAGGCTGGCAAGGAAACTGACTGCAGGAGCAGGGGGTCTCCGGGATTCCAGGGGCTGGGACTGTCCAGCAAATGCCTTGGAAAGAGAGCACACATGAGTGGGAACACAGCTGCTGGAGCAATGCCATGATGAGTGGACCGTGGGGTGCAGAGTCCTCACTGCTGCATCCCCTATCTTCTGCAGGTGCCAAACCTACCTAGAATGCCTGCTATGGGGACTTCAGAGCTGTGGTTCCCTGCAACAGACAGCAGAGCTGGAGAAAGGTGATGGAGAAAAGTGACATCTGTTGGTCACCCTCACCTGCCTTTGTAGCCAGTACCCAGTGGGGGTCCCCTCCTCCATGGCTGCAGTTCACCTGCAGGTGCTCTCACTCCTTGATTTCCCCAGCCCAGCCCAGTCCACTCCTCTTGGAGTGGTGACCCAAACTCTGGAGGGGCATTGGTATCATCTGTCATCTTGGCTGTCCTCTGTGCTATCCCTGGATTAGCCTAAGCCACCCTTCTGTTCAGCCTGACCT